CTCGTGGGTTGCCAAGACAAAAGTGGCCCCGGTAAAATTCACGAAGTGATTCTTGTTGTGCTAAGTTCATGCTTACGAGCTGTGTCCCATAATGATGATCCAATCATGTTTAATATATAGAGATAAAGTAAACAAAAAAGAAAACTTGAATAATGTGTTGAATAAAAATGTTAACGTGACAACACGAGCAAGGTTCGCAACATTCACTATAAGCATCGTACACAATTTATGCCTACTGCATCATTATAAATGGAACACAATGCAAATACGATTACCGCGATAAATCATCAACGCGCCAGACGGATCAAAGTTCATGACAATTCTTGACTTTTCATCAGTCGCTGAAAAAAACTGGCCGTTGTCGAGAGGTTATTTTGGCAGTTTGGGACACGTTTAAGTGGCCGTTACCGTTGTAGAGAGGTTTAAAAAAGATTCAATATATGGACTTAGTCCGCCGGGACCCGGGCCGTCGGCGGAGGTTCGACTGTAGATTCTCTTTACAGGGGATCTCATTGATTTCAATGGGGCAACAGCCAGAAATTTTAGTCGCTAAGCGTACAGTTAACCATGAAAATTTGTCGAACCAAAATTTAGCCTGTTCCAGGCGTTCAGATAGTGGGGACCGGTGCGAAGAAAAAAGGAGCGCGAAAAAATAAAAGCGAGGGAGGGGGGAGGTGAGAGAGGGTTCCCGCACCTCTCTCCCCAGTCCCCCTCTACTTTTCATCGCTATCTTTATTTCGCACCGCTCTCCACTATCTGAACGCTTGGAACAGGCTAACCAAAATTGGTCATGCAGAGCTTGGTAGGAGCTCACGTGACTTGTCTTGTGGTAGTCTATTTAGCACGTGACTGTGTCGTCAAGTGTGATTACCAGTTCTGGGATACTGTGAAATACACGACCCCAGAATACCCTGCAGGTTAAGACCACGGATTCTGTCAGCAGAAAGCAGAGAACGTCTAAATCATAACCAAGGATTAGCGGAGGACGACAATGTACTTTTAGAAAGCGATGCTGAATACAAAGACGTTTACCACGAGTTACAGAGCATTGAGATGTGGCCAACTCTTCCCTTCCACTACCCCCCTCCGCCCAAAAAAGGTGATTTAATCTCATCACTCTTGCTCCAGTATCACTCAAATCCAGGAAATCTAATTGTATTTACTGTTAAATACGTCTAATTGTATTTAATGCAACATTCATACTATTCGTTGAACATGTACATTCACATTTTTACAGTAAACTTAATGAAAGTCTCCTCTGTAATTTACAGCAATTAATACCCCAACTTTTTTTCAAAGACATGCCAGAAGTAAGTGGTTCAATTTTATCCTTGGTTTCAATTTTATTTGCCTTTGTTTTAACTCATTATCATACATTACCATACCCCAAAATTAAACAAAGGGAAATAAAATTTAAGCCGAGGATAAAATCAGGTGTCGTGAACCGCAACATAAGCACGTAAATTCTTCTACACTATTGAAAATACCACATTGCAAAACTGAAACTGTACAAAATTAGTTCCTGATTAAAACTAACAGTAGTATTCTCAATCAGCAATTATCAGAAAATAAAAAACAAACGTTACTACAGTTACTCTTACCGACTGATTCTCCTATAATTGCACTAATCTACTTCTGTCTCGCTGTGTGAAAGTAAAACTCAGTAAAGCGGTTTAAATGCAAGCTTTTTGCTCTTTGCGGACACATCTCTGTTCACTAATTAAGTTTCAAAGTCAAAGAAGGCTTAAAACTAAGAATTGGTTCCCTTGATATGCCTCCTCACCGTTATAAGACCATTTCACTTTCATAAACATAGCGCCCGAGCTTCAACAATACACGATTTCCCTTGATCGCTTACATGGAGGTTACCAAAGAGGTACAAGTTGTTTTAGTTTGCAATGACTGTCCTTCAAAATGTCAGCCAAATATATACTCCTTCATCGGTTAATTTGTTACAGGCGAGCTAGTTTAAGCTGTTTAATTTGCGATTACTGTCCTTCAAAGTCTTAACCAAACACCCTGCGCCACAGGGTCTAGAGGAGATGTGTTTGTCGTTAGAACATCAAAACCCGTCGAAAACCTCTGAAAAAATGGGTTATTTTGATCGCGTTACAGTTTCGTTACACATTCTATATACCGCAAACCAAGAGACTGAGGGCTTGCAAGATCGGCTTACAGTTGTGCCTCGGTCGCCCTTCGGGCGACAGCCTTCGGTCACCCTTCGGGCGGCGTGCCGTGCGGCAGCGAGGATATGGCTTGCAGTTATTGATTTTCAAAATGGCGAACAACAAAGTCGATCTGGGTCAGATAAGAAGCGAAGAAATCCTTAACAGTAGATTCATAAAGATCCCATTGGGCTAATTAATCGTGCTAAGCGACAGGTATAGACATTTCTCAAGGTGAGACTTTAAATAAGTGATTCATTTATTCACACGAAACTCCTCTGGACCCTGTGCCTGCTCCTTCATTGGTTAATTTGTAAAAGGCAAGCATAAGAGCAGTTTAGTTTGCATTTACTGTCCTTTAACGCTTCAGCCAAATACTTTACTCCTTCATTGGTTAAATTGTTTTCGGCTAGATCTAAGCTGTTTAGTTTGCAATTACTATCTTTCAAAGCTTCAGCCAAAAACTTTGCTCCTTCATCGGTAAATTTGTTATAAGTGAGGTTTAAACTGTTAAACCTGCAATTACTGTCCTTCAAAGCTTCAGCCAAATACTTTACTCCTTCATTGGTTAAATTGCTTTTGGTGAGGGATAAGCTGTTTAGTTTGCAATTACTGTCCTTCAAAGCTTCAGCCAAATACTTTACTCCCTCATTGGTTGAATTGTTTACGGTGAGGTTTAAGCTGTTTAATTTGCTATTACTGTCCTTCAAAGCTTCAGCCAAATACTTTACACCTTTATCTGTTACATTGTTTTGACTGATGTCTAAGCTGTTTAGTTTGCAATTACTATTCTTTAAAGCTTCAGCCAAACACTTTGCTCCTTCATCGGTAAATTTGTTATAGGTAAGGTTTAAACTGTTTAACGTACTGCAATTACTGTCCTTCAAGGCTTCAGCCAAACAGTTTACTCCTTCATTGGTTAAATTGCTTTTGGTGATGTTTAAGCTGTTTAGTTTGCAATTACTGTCCTTCAAACCTTCAGCCAAATACTTTACTCCTTCATCTGTTAAATAGTTTCCGGTCAGGTTTAAGCTGTTTAGTTCGCAATTACTGTCCTTCAAAGCTTCAGCCAAATACTTTACTCCTTCATTGGTTAAATAGTTTCCAGTGAGGTTTAAGCTGTTTAGTTTGCAATTACTGTAATTCAAAGCTTCAGCCAAATACTTTACTACTTCATTGGTTAAATAATTTCCGCTTAGGTCTAAGCTGTGTAATTTGCAATTACTGTGCTTTAATGCTTCAGCCAAGTACTCTACTCCTTCATCGGTTGCAATGTTACGACCGAGCCCTAAGCTGCTAAGTTTGCAGTTACCATCACTGAAAACCTTGCATATTTCTTTACATCCCAGGCAGCCAATCTTGTTATCTCTCAAGTTAATCATTAAAATTTCGTTCTGCTTTTTAAGAAAATTGACTATTGCAGTACAATCAACAGGTCCTATTTGACAGTCTTCAAACACTACAGCATTAAAACCAATCTCTCTTACTTTGTTTTGCACAGCTGAATCATCTGCGTCAATCTCATATAAACAGTGACATAACGTCAACGCTAAATTTGCGTCTTCCTTACTTAGCCAACAGGTTAATATGCTTGGGTCCAGCTCCTGGTCTTCTTTCTCATATGTCGACACTGGCAGAAGGTTCGTGAAAATATCGGTCAGAGCCGGTTCATCTCGCTCACTAAGAAGCCCAGCCACAAACTGCAACACCACTTGCCATGCACCGTCCGCGATGTGACTTGAAACAAATTCTCGCAATTCGGCTTCTCCCATGTTGTCTGTCACATGCTTTGCTGCGAAAAACTCTTGGATGGTCAGATGCTGGAAGCAGTATTGAGCTTTTGGTTTTTCAAATGGTCGCTTCACCTCTGGTTTTAAATCAGGCAAGCGATGAAGTAGGCCACAATCCTCTAGGTTCGTAACTTCGTCAGATTCAAAGGTTAATCTTCCTTCTTTAATTCCTTTAAAAGCAACTGTTCCCAGTTTCTTAAAATCGCCTTTCACGTCTTCAGCCAGCTCATCAAATTTTTTGAAAATTTCGTCCTGAACATCAGTTTTATTGCGGTATCTCTCACTGTGCCTGAAGAACATAAGCTTTACGGCGAAGCTGTATATATTGGTTAGCTTAGTTGGTAGGCTAGTTAAACCATGAATGGAATTGGAATGAAAACTCTGCAGCATGTACAGAAGGCACGAACAAATGATGAAACAGTTAACAGGTATATAGCACAACGAGAAGAGGTTAAGGTTGTTGCTGATATGTTGCCATATGGTTTCTCCTGCACCTTTGTCATCGCCTGTGTACTTCTCCACATAGTTTTTCACTTGCCTTGGTGAAAATCCAAGAATTTCAACTACTCTGCTAAATTTAAGATCTCTTACGCACGATACAGCAGTAGGTCTTATAGTCGTTAAAACTGTGACTCCATCAAGAAGTTTTCCCGACGTAATCTTCGTGTACAATGCATGCAAAGGCATTTTTTCTTCCGCAGTGTCTTTATAAATAGAGTCATCTTCTTGTATATTTTTCCTTGCAGAGAATTCGTCAATGCCATCGAAAATAAAAAGTACTCTGCTTGGGTTTTCACGAATGTAGTTCCATACCACATCATTCATATTTGTTGAAAATTCTGATTTATCCAAAAGCTCTCGAAGATTAAGCTCTGCAGTAGAGTTCAGTCTCCTAAATTTAACGAGGAAAGCAACGTCAAATCGTAATTCTGAATTTTGCGTTTCATCGAATAAGCGGTCGCTTGCCCAATCGCGCATAAACTTCGTGCTAAACAATGTCTTACCGATTCCAGGGCGACCAACAATAAGAATATTCTTGTGCTGATCATCAACAATGTCTCCGGGTCTTTTTGGTGGTAAATGTTTCTCTGGTTTGGGATACACTTTTAGCTGTTCTCGCCTGTTTTCAGGAAAGTGATAATCGGCTCTTCCAGGATAAATAATTAAATTAGTATACATTTGATCCAGTTTAAAATCTTTAGGTTTATCGCCTTCACCCGGGTTTGGTTTGAAGGGTGATGAGAGATCTCTAAGTCGCTCGGTGTTCTTTAAGACACTTTCCTTCATGCACGTGATAGAAGTTTGCAACAGAGTTAAATGTTCCCGCTGTAATTGTTCCGATGTTTCGTGATTTCCTTTCCCCTGTGTCTCTTGCAATTCTTGTTGTGGTATAGTCAACACAGGTATTTCTTGATGTGAATTTTGGGGGTCATAATTCGATTTAAGATGATCAGTATAAAACTGTGAGTCATCCATGAACTGTTTCCCCCCTTTCTTTGCACGCAAAAAAATAATGGAAAACTCAATCAAAAGAAAAGCTGCAAGGATTCCATTCGCCCCACTTACAGCATACATCCAAGAGGTTTTCTTATGAGCTCGCTGGTTAATGCATTCATAAGATGGAGTTTTTGTGTTCCCAGTTGCATTCGCTGCGGTTTGATTGACTTCTCTCATCAAGTTACACTTAAAGTTTGACGGAAATTCACGAGGAAAAAATACTTCATATAATAAAAGGAGGATAAAAACAATCCCGAGACAAAATCTAGTGGCAAGTTGACAACAGTACTGTATGAAGAGTTTTCTTTGAGTTGCGTTGGCTTGATGATCTTGTCCTTCAACATCTGTATTTCTGCTTTCAAGTTTATTTACTCTTGGTGTCGCAAGTTTTGAATATATCACACAAACAATAAAAGGAAGAGAGAAGTTAACAGTCACAAAACTGTAAAGAGGAACAGACAGCTTGTTGTGTAGCTTTTCGTATTCCACGAAACACTTCTGTCTAACGAAGTCCTTGTCGACTTTAGCATTCTTGTTCACATCACAGCGGAAGTCAAACCTCGGTTCGTTGATTTCCATGTCCAGAAACACTCCAAACAGTGCTATCCCAACTGCGATCCAAAGAACATTCACTAGAAAACTGAACTTGTTGAAGGTTTTAGGCGTCCACAATTCCTTACACCATGTAAAAGCCTCCATTTTATGATTTAGGTTGAGCTTTGCTTGGCAGTTGTCCAACAGAGGCGTGGTGAATGGGTTTGATTTCTATGGTGTTCAATCCCCGCTAAAATCGACTTGACTACTCAACAATCAACTTGAGCGGCTAACATTAACTCACAGCAACCAACTTTCAACTTAACGTTTCAACAGTCAAAGTTAATAATTCAACTTAAACTCCTAACATTTAACGTTATCACTAGTTCTTGAAAATTGAGCGCGCAGGATTCTACTTAGATACAAAACATGTAAGTTGTGCAACCAACAATTCAACTTGAGAAAGGTCGAGAAAACCAAGAACCAACTTTGCAATTTCAGTATTCAGTGCTCGGCGTTATTTTAAGTCTGGTCATCTTTTTTTTATAATCCGATGTTGAAAAGATATTGAACTCGTATCAGACGCGATGGATAGTGAATAATTTACGTCACGGATTAAACTTCATCGTTGTGAAATCTTGACCTCGTTGTGCGAACAGCGTAAAATGTCCACCAAAATGTATCTTATGTCAAAGGCTGACATAACAGGCCAACCACAGGCGTTGTTTCCAGTCTCCGGTGTCCCCGTTTCCCTTCTTTTGCACAATCTAGATAGCGGCGTCTGTTGCCGGATGCCAGCCACTGTGGAAAAGATATTAAGAGGGACATTTTCGTTAAGCACTCCTAAATCAATATAAGCAACAAGAAGCTCAGCAACGTTAAAGACTGTCAATACTGTTATTAAAAAAGCTAATTCACAAGTTATTACCAAGGGAGGAACTACGAGCTCCAGTCTAACAGAGTTACCCAACGAATGGTTTCTGTAAAATATCTGTTCGGAGAAGGAAATATTGCCTATAATTTTATATTAAGTGAGGACGGCTAAAAATAGGCCTAGACACAAATATCACGTAAAATCGCCTAAATTTCTTTCCCGAAATTCTCAAAAAAATGTCTAAAAATCCCAAAAGATTTTCTAAATATCTCGAAAAATCCTCGACATATCTCGAAATATCTCGCAGTTTTGTTTTGAAAATAAGCCGATTTTGAATCTCTTAGGCCATATGTTCCCCAGCGGGAGCTGAAAAGTATGTTCAGTCTCATATATGTTTCTAGACTACGAGTAGTCCCCCATTTTTCCTCAGGGATAGTAGAGCGAGCGAAACGCGAGCGCGCGTGAAAATCACCCCACGCCGCGTGTCGCCTTTTCTCGCGTGGGGTGATTTTCACGCGCGCTCGCGTTTCGCTCGCTCTACTATCCCTGAGGAAAAATGGGGGACTACTCGTAGTCTAATATGTTTCCAGCATCCGCAAAATGGCTGCTAGTGTCTAGTGATATGGAATACATTATTCAA